TATATATATAAAATAAAATCTAGTAAGACACAGGCAAACTGTTCCATCCTCCAAAAGCTGCAAAACAAGGAGACTTCACTACCAGTTATCAATTCACCTCCCAATTCTCCCTCGCAGAGCAGAAAATACTGCCAGAAAACTGTCATAACGACACTCTGAAGGAGGTGCTTATGTAATGATTGTCTTACGGTTGATAAATGGCCCAAAAAAATATCTTCATGAATTGTACTTCTGTACACATTTAACAATTAAGGTGCACATACACTGTCCGAATTTCGGACGGTTTTTAACGTACCGTCCGAAATTAGCACAGTGTGAGGGCTGTTGGCTCTCTTTCAGCCGGCATTCCTCGATCAGCTGATCGAAGGAGCTGGCTGGAAAATCTTTGTACGATCAGAGCTGGCAGCCAATGAACTGACCGCTCTGATCGGGTATTAATCTGACAGGTTTTTGTTCAGCTCGCGGGTTGAGCGAAAAAAAATTGATAGACCAGCCTTAGGTTTGTTAAAATAAGGAACCGTTAAATAACAAGCTTTGTGATAAAATATCACTTCAGAGAAGAGAGACGTTAATTGGGGGATTTTCCAAGTATTAAATTGTTTGGTGAATTGCACAAGGTTAAATATCGTGCGATAGCTATTAAATAACTAGCAAAATAAGGAAAAAAAAAAAACCTTTTGTGAATTGACCCCTATATGCTGTTACTCAATGCCAACATAAAGTGCCGAGGAAAGCGTCAACCACCAAAATTGCACCTACAGGATCAGAGAGAAGGTGAGAGAGCTGAGAGCGCGCAGCAACAGAGAAGCGAGAGAGATGTGGCTCAGACCAGTATGGTGGCCGGTAGGGATGGGGGGGATGCACGGTGCATGGAACCACACTCTACATCACTGGCTTACATGCAATGGAGTCCAGTCGAATGGGTCGTGTCTATGTGGGCCTAGCTAGAAGTGAGGGATCAGAGGACTGATGTATCCAGGATCAGCACCCAGGGGCTCCACAGGACTATAAACATTTCTCTTGAGTGCCATAAGCAGTGGCGGAACTACCGCCGAAGCGGGCGCACCGGGGCCTCAACTTGGGGGGGCCCAGCACAGTCCTGGCCTGTGCATGGATAGCAACCAGCGGCCGGCAGGCACCCCGTCTCTGCGCCGGCAGTGTCGGATCATCCGTTCATCTGACACTCCCGGCACAGAGATAGGGGGGCCCACTGGCCGCCGGATACTGATCTTAATATCCCCACACTCCGACGTGCTGAATTGGGGGAGGGGGGTGGGGGCTACGCGCACGCACGCTTGCCGGATACCAAGATATTATGGGGCCTGCCGGCCCCTGCGAGGAGAGAGCCGCGAGCCGAGGACATCTCAAGACGGCCCTGCAGGGTGCAGGCACATCAGACGGCTGTGAGGACCCAGCAAGCAGGAAACAGACACTGGGTTTTTCTGCAGCCTGAATCCCGCCCAGGAAGCAGCAGAAGACCAGCCATAAGAAGTAAGGGTAAATAATTAAAACAATTATTATTTGTAGCCTGATGTGTAAAGTACAGCTGGTATTTATAGTGCTCTATAGCAGGTGCCATTCTGCATTGCAGCCATACAGAATGGGCCCCCCTATAGAGAACTACAAATCTCAGCAGTACTTTATACAGAAATGCTATAGTTGTATAAAGTATTGCTGGGATGTGTAGTCCTCTATAGCCTGTGCCATTCTGCATTGCTGTAAATATTATTAGGGACGCACCAATATCAGCCGAAAATGGACCTTTTGGCTAAATGCCTTAAGTGCCATTTTTTGGCCGATACAGCAGTGCATCCCTGCTTTCTTTCCTCCCCGCTGTGCGCTGCTCTGTGTCCCAGTGGGGAGGAGAGAAAGTGTCAGACGGCCGAGCGTTGTGGCAGGAGAGCGCTGTGAGCAGCCAGCGTCTCTCATCCCACACCGCTCAGCCTCCTATCACAGTCCGGGGTTCGATCGCAGATTGTGACTGCGTTAGAATGTGTGACTGCTGACGTCATTACACTTTCTAATGTAATCACGTCCATTTTTTCGGCGGTAGAATGTGTGACCAGTCAAGTGGTCGCACATTCTAACGTAGCCACACCCATTTTTTTCGGGGTAACAATGTGTGACAGGCAAAAGGTGTAGAATTCAAAGCTTTCTCCGCTGTTCCTGGGCAGATCGGCATCGCCGATGGTATGTGCAAGAGAACCGATCTGCCCCGGAACAGCTGATTAGTCCTGAAATCTAACTTCTATCAGACTTTGTATTGCACTCGCAAAGTCAGATAGAAGTGAGATTTCAGGACCGATCAGTTGTTCCGGGGCAGATCGGTTCTCCGAAAATTGTGCCACATGTTACATATCGCCGCGAATGTTGCAGTGAGAGCAATCATTCTAGGGCCAACAATCACTGTTAACACTAAACTGATGAGCAGTAAAAGCTTCTAACGCGTCGCCTATGGGAAATTTTGGTCATTGTAGTTTTTTTGTGGTTTCACGGGCACATGCAAATTTAAGGCTTGACATGTTTGGTATCTATTTACCCGGCGTGACCCCGTCTTTTATATTTTAACAAAAAATTATATTCCGTTTCTTCACTAAATTTATTTTAGTAAATTTTACCCTAGAAATACTGGTTTGATAAACATTTGCGCAAATACTGTGCGACAAAATTGCAACTAGCTTTATTTATTCTACAGGGCCTGCGCTTTCAGAAAAGATATTATTGTTTGGGGGTTTTAAGCTATTTTCTAGCCAAAAATTCAGATTTGATCGTGTGTGCAAATATGAAGAAATTGCTTCTGACACAAGTGGTTAAGGGATACTGCTAACGGAAGAATCTTTTGCTTCCAAACAATTCCAGGCGTCTCGAATGCCTTGTCCTCTGCTGCATGCTGTGCTTCCTTCCACCACACCCTATGTCACTACAGTGTCCTGCAGTGAAGTAGTGGTCGGCATCAGGGACCATGGAGCGTAGCGGGGGAACAGGCATCCAACACACTAAAGTGTCAGACGCAGAAGATTTTTCAGGCAGTGGTGTCTCTTAGGTGGAGCAGAGAACCATAGCAGGGGCAGTGGGACAGGTATTAAAAAGCTTTCTTTTCCAGAAAGCTTTATATTTGTGTCAGATGATGTTAATGTAATGCAATTTTCAGTTACAAAAATAAAAATACAATATAGAATTTTAAAAAATTACATTTCATGTTTTATCTTATTTTTTTATTGTTTGTACAAAATGTGAAATGCGGTACTAGATTGCAGCATCACCACTGTTCTAACAACCTGTGTCATGTCTCAGGACCGGGACACAGTCATTCATGTGGTCATCACAGTCATTCCTTCACTCAGACTGATGCCTGGAAACGGTTCAAAAGGATTTTCCAAGTACAAAATACTTATCATACACATCCATGCCAACAACCTAACAGTTTCCTGAGTGATCAGCAGATAAATATATGTACATTTGTAGCAAAGAAGAACAAAGAAACGACACCTTTTTGTCAGCAAACAATCCCAATAAGTTACAGTAAAAATACAGAGTTTTCTTCAGGATGGCGGGGAAAGTGCAAATGTTTTTCATTTACTGCTAACTGATGCATGATTGTCAAGTAATTTCCAAGATACCATTGCGTGGTACAGCTAGAAAAATTGTGTTCTTAGTGTCAATGATGTTTGTCCTTCACATGCCCGTTTTGGTATGCTTTGCCATTCTGGTAAGACTTCGGTAGCCGCTGTCCTTTGGTGTAGGCGTGGAACCAGAAATTGAGAAACAGGATTAAGAAAACGACTCCATAAAGGGAGATGATGTAAAGGAAGACCGGGAACTGGTACGGGCAATCCTTCATGAAGAAGAACTGGCTAATGTGCACAGTGACCATCACAAACTGCGTCTGGAGGAAAAGCAAAAAATTATTGTCACCGTCTGGCTAAAACAGGAAAAAGCTGTGCAATTTTTGCTCATTATAGCAGGTCACAACCTCAACTGTGTCAATGTTCTTGCTACATTAAAAATGCAAAAAGCACCATTCTGCAGGTTCCTAGGGGGCTGCGAGACCTATTGTATTGTACAGAGGTGCTATAATACCACATAATCAGTGTAGAATTACTAATACAGCTTCATTCACCCCCAAAAAAACACAGGAGATGTAGATTTCTACTCAAAGAGATCCGAAACATATAAGCACTGTGCATCATGCTAGTTATCCTTCTAAAGCTGGCCATATACCTATAGATTATCTGCAGATTTTCTATGGTCAGATAGAAAAAGTGCAACAGATTCTTCCATCTACGCTAAACTGTGTGCATGGAGGAATCTCCCACTGGGCCAAGCTTCAGTATCTTGCTAGTCGGCCCCGACAGCTCTGAAAATACCTGAACAATGCCTGCATCCAATCAGATTGTTCAGGGAGTTTGACAGCCAGTGGTGCTGAATAGCAAGATACTGAAGCTTGGCCCAGTGGGAGATTCGTCCATCCACACAGTTTAGCATAGATGGAGGCATCTGTTGCACTTTTTCCATCTGAACATAGAAAAGAGTACATTCTGTCTCCCTGTCATCCTAGAGAAGAACAGCAGGGTGACTATACACATTACAATGTGACAGTACACCCTTTGTACAATCAGTGCTAGATTTACCAAAAATATACAATATGAGCACTTAGCTAAACTATCCAATACATTTGTATCCAATCATGCAGGCCCATGAACCATAGTTGTTGGCAGATTGTGTTCTTTATCCAATAATGTATTTGTTGCATACACTGTAAGCTGGTTTATTCCATCATGATTTTCTGAAGTCCGGTAATGTAGCAAAAGCACTTTTTCATAGAGAATGTGGTCTCTTTATTGCCCTACTCAGCTGTGGGATGCAAGGGAAATTGAGAGCAACTTTCACGAAAAATGACAGGCCAGGGAATGTTAGCCTAGCCTCTGCTGTAGGTGAATGATCTCGGCCAATTAAAGAGAAAATGGGAACAAAAGAGGCAAGTACAAAATCTGCAACAGCAGAGGCCCTGAGTGTCCCCAATGATTGCTTTCCCCATAGGCCATCAAAAGAAAATTATACATTGATCAATGAGAGCTTGTTCTCTCCAAATAATGGAGGATTGGATCATTGGAGGGAGCTTAGTAGATTTTGTAAATACCAGCCATCTCATGGTTCAAGTTCTAGGGTGATCTACTTCTATGACCGGTCATACCGCACTGTCAACTGAACAAGAAGCGAGGAGAAATCTCCAACGGGGCCACTAACAATAACAACTTTTTTTAAAATGGGTGACAACTGTGATCTAATGAGGTCTAAGGGCCTGTTCACACGACGTCCGTTTTGTGTGCTGACCGGCTCCGTACGCTGCTGCACTCAAAATGCATCCCAATGTATCCCTATGTGTTTTATGGGCTCCAGTTCTCACGTGCGCAGTCCGTTCAGCTTACGACAGAAAAATACTGCAGGTCACATTTTGTCAGGTCTGGAAACGGAACAGATACGCAAACGCGTCAAAAACGCGTCAAAAAACACACTGCGCTGCAGTTTTTTTTGCTGGAAGGCATCCAAAACGCGGCCAAAACGCAGCCAAAAACACAATGCATCAGCAGCTCCACGTCTGCTGATCAGGACCTGATCTCATGTGAACAGGCCCTTAGAGATTTTTTCTATTCTTAGTTGTTATTTTCTAACATTCTATTACCTACTAGAAGGGAATTTAAATCCTATCTGTATTATCAACTATATGTAACTACACCTTTACACTGCAGTTATACTTCTATTGTAGTCCTTCTGACCTCAGCACCCTCTCCTAGTCTTACACGCTCCTGTCCTCCATCCATTGGCATATCAGCTGTGTGGCCTGGACAGTGCAGCATTGCCGTTTGTCAAAATCTTTTGTGCTGGGCTCACACATACACTTTGCACTCTCATTCATTACTTTGGAGGACTCTGGAGTGCAGAGTGTATTTGTGGGTCTGACACAATATTTTGACAGGCAGCTGTGCCTCCAGGAGCTGATCACTTGCTGGATCAGGGACAGGCTAGTATAAGATTGGGAGGAGAGGCTGGAGGACTACAAAATCGGTTTAGCTGCACCAATGAAATTATCTCTATGCTGCATTACATTAAAGTCACTGTATCTTGGTATGCATATTTAGCTCTCAGCTTTATAAAGGAGTTCATTGTGTAGTAGGAGAATAACCAGTTTAGGTAGTTTCAATGCTTGGAAAATAAGTTGTCTGCCAATAAGATGGTAATTTCCTGATACTATGGGGTTTATGTATAAAAAGAGGGCAAGCAAGGAAATGTCCTAACTGCTAGAAGCATCCAATCACCAAGAAACTGCAGTGCAGAGTTAAAAATGAAACAGTTTCTGATTAGCATTTGGTTACCCATAGCAGCCATAGTACTGCAAACACTTAGAGAACTATGAGGTGAGTGCTTTTCACTCACCTCATAGTTCTGGCCAAGGGCGTAACTAGAAACCACAGGGCCCCATAGCAAAAGTTTTATGGGGCCCCCTTCCCAAAAAAATGCAATTGAACACCCCCCACTAATGTTGCCACCCCACAACGCTTATATTTGCTGCATACAGTTTCTAATAAATCTCAATGGAAATATTTTAAAATCTTTTTTCAAGCGGAATCTTCAGAGCAGTAACGTCATCCTACCGGAGTCCATAGGCATTGTTGATCCTGAAAGCTGTGCTGACTGGCAAATTTGCCAGAGCTTTGTGGTCATGAAACCACTTAAAATAAAGATTAAAATAAGTATTTTAATTGAGATTAGAAACTGTATGCAGCAAAAATAAGAGCTGTGGGGATGCAATGGTTAAAAAGGTGAGTTATTTTACTGCCTTGCGCTCTACTTTAAACACTGCCACCAATGAAGCTGGGGAAAGGTGTGTAATTTAACCACCCCCCCCTTTCCCCAGCTTCATTGGTGGCAGCATTAAGGCCGCCACACACCGTGTGGAAGCCGTGCGACCTCTACTACTGTAAGGTCGCACGACTTTAAACTTACGGACATGTTCGAAAACCCGCCGAGCATCGTACGATGTTCGGCGGGTTTGTGGCATGTCCGTACGATAACAGCCGTACGGGCCGGTGTCCGCAAGCGCACACTGCCCGTTCGGCATTGCGGTCATCGGAACCCCGCCCCTCAGGGGGCGTGGCTTGCGATCATCGCAAGTACGATCTGCCTATGCAAGATAGGCAGATCGTAAGTTTTTTTAAGTACCTTACAACCATCGCAAGACAAAAGTCTTGCGATGGTTGTAAGGTGTGTGCCCAGCCTTAGATAGAAAACAAACAATCTACAAGATATTAAACAGCTTTTGATCTGATGCACCTGAAATGTATTTGGCTGATTTAAATGGAGGGCTCTATTGGCCTTTAACTATTAAAAATGTTTTTTTTTAAAACACACAGAAGTGAGTGATCCATTCACTACACTGAGCAGTAAAAAGAAAGAAATATAGTACTTGATGTTGTAATGTAAAGCAATAAAACTGTGGGCTTTTTTGCATATTTAGTGACAACTATAAAATGTCATAATACAAAAATAACTGCAGCAAATAAAAATGGATAAAATATGTTGATGAGATAATGATCAATGGTGTGAAAAGTGGCCTAAAGTAACCCCATGGATCATTGTGGACAGGTCTATGTGCTGCTCAGCATATGGTGGTTTACGAGATCAAAAATACCCGTTTATGCAAAGATTGCTAAAAATGTGAATAGCAGCATGCAGTGCTTTCAGGGGGCTAACATGCAGTCAAAACCCTCTAGCACCTGAACTCATATAAATGGAGAGAGTTTATGTTGGAGTATACTGCTGTCTAATAAAAGCTGGGTAAGGAAACTTGCTCATGTTGAAGGGCCACCCTCTACTACACTCTACCTTTGTTGCCGATTTAACCAACTACATTCATTGTACTGTGTCAGGAATGCTGACTAGGCAGGTGCTGCTACTAGAATATTTGTAAAGGTTCTACATACCAGTTGCATTGAAGTCATGTATTTTTTCCACCATAAGTACTTCTGATAGGCCGGACCCAGTGCTGACATCCCATAATATGTGTACATGATCACATGTACAACACTGTTCACCAAGGCGTGGAATGTACCTAAACCACCTAAACCAGAAGAGACACAGAAAGTGGTTACATACTTCAAACCTGCAAAAAGGTCATATCTATCTATCTATCCATCTATCTACATACAAACATACATACATACACACACACACACACACACACACACACACACACACACACAAACTAAACACAATTGTTTTGAAATAATTTGGTTTCCTTTAAAGATGAAGATAGATAATCATATTCTAAAGTTACAGTGGGACTTGTATCTGTTTGAAAGCAGCTAATGACTATGCACCCTCACTGTTCAGCCATGTCCACCAACTGAAGCAGCTCCAAATCGAAAAGAGCTTTAGCCCTTTTACACATGGATTTTAGCTTCTATGTTTTTTCATACTCACATTGGTGTGTATAACACATTTTTGCAGAGCTTTTGGCAAGTTTTGTTGAAGCCTTTAGCCCCCCCTCCCCCCCAATAACTCCAAGCATTACACAGGCTGAGAATTCAAATATTATGAGGTTCTGAAAGGCAGCTGAGCCCCTTACCGCAAACTCATTGGCATGCTAATCTGCTAGAGATGCCATGGTGACAAGCAACAAGTATGGAGGCACAGGAGAACAGAAAATGCCTTAAAGTAGACCTATGGCTGTGAAGGCAATACTAACCCCGGGCTGTAAAGGGAGAATGCAGAAGTCGTGCTGAACACAGTGCTACCCCCCTTTCTCTAAAATGTGCAAGTCCGTGGCAAAAATATTTATATTTAAATCGAACATCTGCGTTTCAGAAAGGGACGACAAAGTTAAAAAATCACAGACCAGACTGAAAGAACCTTAAAAAAAGCATGCCATTTTACAGTCCAATTGAGAGTAACCAGCCCTAGGTTAGATGTAAGGCAGATAACCATAGATGCCGGACAGAAGGTCATAATTTTTTTTTTGCAGTATGATAAACAGAACTAAGCAGAGTCTGGAAAGCCTCTTAATGGATGCCGTAAATAGTCTGAAGGATTACACATTTGTCAGTATAGGGTTAGTGATCAATACTACTGACATACAGATATCCTGCCCTAAGTTAAAGGAGAACTATGGGGTCAGTGTTTTTCCCCATAGTTCTCCTTAGGGTAACGGGAGGACACAAACTAGCGTCCTCCCGTTACCCTAAGCTCAGTATACCGCAAGCTACAGCTCGCGGTATACTGAGACTCCGTGACAGGATCGAGAGGTGAGCGAACCCGGTATGTGTTCGCTCACCTCCCGATCTACTGAGCCGACCTGTGACAAGTCTCATTGTCACAGGTCGGCTAGAACTATGAGGTGAGTGGAAATCACTCACCTCATAGTTCTCCTTTAAGCTTCATACAATTTTCATCATTCTTATGATAATGGAGATACATTCATAAAAAATGGTTACACGAATATATACGAAAATAACAATCAGATATCAAACAGGCCTATATTGCAAGCTGTAGAAGGTGGGTGGGACACATACATCTTCTAAGAGGAATATCCATAAGATTAATTTTGCTGTAATTGTGCAACAAAATTGTGAAGCTTGGCAAGTCTGCAAGAGTTTAGCAAGTCATTTTCTAACTGGCAGCTCAATTGCTTGCTATCTGGGAAGTGTCCACTAAAGTATAATAAAACACCACCACTCCTACATCACACCCCTCAGTTATCTTGATTGGGTGGGGGGTTTGCTCTGCGACACCCTCTAGAGCAGGGGTAGCCAAACTTTGGCCCTCTAGCTGTTGAACAACTACGAGTCCCAAAAGGCATTGCAAGACTGACAGACACAGGCCTGACTTCCAGAGGCATGACAGGATTTGTAGTTCACCACCAGCTGGAGTGCCGAAGTTTGGCTAACCCTGTTCTCGAGGGTAAACAAAAAGCTAATGCTATTGGCAACTGGAGCTCTCACTTACCAATGAAACTATGAAGGACTAATAATAGTCTTTCATGAGCGCCGATGACTCTCTAGTACATCACACTGGAGTCTGCAGCGGATTGGACAATGTCAAAACCAAAGACCAGGCAAACGTTCGCCAAGTACTTTTCACTTTTAACCCCATTTATTTTACTCAGAATTTCTATATGTTGTACAGAGGCGCTTAGATTGTTGTCCCACAAGCTGGAAAATCTCTGCACAGGGTGAGGCTGAGCTTGTAATATCACATTCTACTGGCAGTGGCATCATTTGGAACGGTTGTCACATACTGGTGACAGCGGTGGGATAGGAGACTGCCGCGGTCACAATGGCCTCACATTACAAAACAAATATGTGCTGCAGCACTTAATTAGAAGCGTGTTACATAGTTACATAGTTAGTTAGGTTGAAAAAAGACACAGGTCCATCAAGCACAACCTTCTCAGCCCCCCCTGCAAAGTCCCCCAATTACCTGTTGATCCTGCCAATCGAGTTTATCTAAAGCAGCTTTCTGTGACAACCTGTACTTTGTCAATCAGTACCTGGTCACACCTAGTCCTGCCCACTACTTTCTGGATTGACCGCACTGTGCTGCTGAAACGTCTTACTTTTAGCTGCAGTGTCCTAGAGGGGGAGCGTGTGAGACACAAATGAAGGAGGATCCGACTCAGTCAGGGAAGGTAAAGGAAGTTTTTTTGTTTACTTTATGAGGCTTGTGCATCACATAATATCTGGATTTGGTACTAGTTTAGACTGTCATACAGGAGCCTTTAGCTGCACTTTAAATATAACACTTCTAATTTACATTAAAATCCTAATCACTGGAAAAAACTGACAGAATCCACATCCCTAGTCCTCCTCATTCACTCATTTGTCTATGCACATTAAAGAAAGCAACCAATGTATGCTTACAGTTCCTAATCCACACTGGAGGCATAAAAGAAGCAAAAGAAAATACCTGCCGCAAACTTGACCCCAAACCACCAGGTCCATGGCATGATTGAATGATGGTACACGTGCAGGAATGTAACCTGACTGTTCTTTTTACGCAGTACAAAGAAGATCTAGGAAATAAGAGAAAACAATAGTTTATATCAATTACAGTGGCTATGAATTAATGTAAGGAGAGTTTTGCATTCCAGAGAAAAATTCAGTACATAGAACAACTTTTCTTTAAGAATTAAGCATGTTTTGTGCAAAAAGCAATTTAACTTTGTTTTCAAGTTATGCTATGTTAAGGGAAACATGTAACAAATATAAAGTAGGTGTTATCTCAATTTGGCTGCAAAAGTGGGCGTACACTTTAAATTATTCAGAAAAAGCGTTGCACTATATTGTCATGTGTGTGATCATGAAATGCATACAGTAGCAAGAGACCTCCTGACATTACAATGAACACCATTTATGCATGTCGGGTATACAGAGTTGTGAGAGCATCTAACTGGTCTGTTCTCAAGACTGTAAGGTTGCAAGAAGAGAAAATGTGGGACGCCACCTTCCTTGTACCCTATACCACTTCTACGTGTGCCATCTATGCTTTGACTATGCTGAGACTTCACAGCCTGAAGGCTGGCTTATGTGCAGAGGACAGGTGGGTGTGCAAACAAGGAGTGAGCTCCACAAAACCTTTCTAAGGTTTGTTTGTGGGTACCTTATCTTACGGAATGGTTGTATTTTCAACTCTCCCACCTCTTGAATGTCATGTATATACACTATTGTTTTGTCAAACATTGATATGCTATAATAAAACACACTGCCCCATCTAATATGGTATTGATGTGCATTCTTTTTTAGCATCTAAGGGTGGGGGGTAGAAACTCTGAATGTCTGATTAGGGACACAAAATGTGTTCACAATCAGGCAGGGGGGGTGGTCACAAATAAAGACGTGTCGTGGATCTACAACAGAAAGTTATTTGATTGACAGTACAACAGAGATGTATACAAGCACCACCACAGAAAAATTGGAATAACTATTTTTAATAAGCTCATACACATTACCTCAGGCTGAGAATCTGAGCATGTCAGTAAGTATCGCTACCAGCAAACACGGATGGAAGAGGACACAGAGCCATACAGCGGAATGCCATGATCCCCGAGTGATTGTAATGCAATGTATTATATTTGATTCAATTACTACAAAAGGAATTACATTTCTTTACTTACTGTATCAAGTAACTCAATAAACTTTGAAAAAAAGTAAAGCCAGCATGTCCACGCCATCTACAAAAGGAAAACAAATTACGATGTGTTAAACAATTCTGAAGCCCTCAGGAAATGACAATATAGCCAAGATTTGTAGGCACCGATTGGGTTCAGTAATATTTTCAAAAATCTTTTGTGTGTCTAACATGACCACATAGCATCAAGTAATACATTTCCTACGGTATGCAAATCAATCTTCGAGAGCCTGTACATGCATTATTTCAAGATAATAAACATTAGTTTTCTGGTCTGGCCTTATACGGTAAGATTTTTCTCCTTTAGCCCCATGGGAGTATTTTATTCTGTTTTCAAGCAGCTTCCCCAAATAGTGGGGGAGCGTGCATTGTGAACATCAGGCAGACATTGTCTGCATATATGCGGTGACATAAGTATATGAAGCCAACAATTTCAGGTTAGACGTCAGCCTTTGTAAATGAACCCCCTCAGGTAAGTTATAGACCTAAAACAATCACCCCCTCCCACCATGACAGGAAGCAAGGACAAATTTTTACTGTGGATACAGCAATGAAGATCTGACAAAGGTTCTAATGCTTACTCACTCTAATATAAAAGTATAGCAAAATGGCGGGAAAAAAAAAAGCTTTAGTTGGATTTAGGCTTTAACATGCAGTCTTTGACAATTATTAATTTAAGCGTTCATCATACAATGATTTGGGGGAAAAAAGCAAAAAACGCCAAACTGTTTGTGAGCGGAAATTAAACTACCCAGTATTGTCTACCCTAGCTTTAAGTTTAAACACTTGAAGATCGGGGTGTTAAACCCGCTTCCTGTCCAGGCCATTTTTCAGTATTCCGCTCTGTGGTACTTTTGACATTTATTGCATCATGCAATGCTGTACTGAAATGAATTTTATATCTTTTTTGGGGACAGATAGTGCTTTCTTTTGGTGAACTGGCATATATGTATGTAATGGCTTTTGAATTCACATTGAACGATATTGGGGGGAAAAAAGAAAATGGCCGTGTAGAAGAGCCAGCGTACATAAGAATGTGTGTTTTGTGTCTGAAATCCACATGTAAAGTACTTCTGGTGGGTGTGGAATGCAGCGTTTGAATTTTAATTAGGACTGTGCTTTGTTATAACTTTTATACAACTGTAAATGTATCGCAGAAAGAGGGGAAAAAAGAAACGCAAGCCACTTTTCATGATTTGACCTGCTTTTAAATCTGAAACTCGTTTACACTAATGCTCATTTACAGCTTAATGTGTGTGTTAACGTGTGCTGCACTGAAACGCATTTTAGATGTGTTGTATTATTGCCTCGACTTGTATGGCTAAACAGGGGTCAATGTATCCCTTTCGATTGTAAGCCCCCACGAGCAGGGCCCTCCTTACCATCTTGTCTTGAATTGTATTGTAATTGTAATGTCTTCCTTATATTGTAAAGCGATGCGCAAACTGTTGGCGCTATGTAAATCCTGTATAATAATAATAATAATAATAATAATAATAATAATAATAAATGTACCCCAATGCCGCATGCTTGATATTTATCCAATACATGGCAATGCATCACGTGAACAGGTCGTGTTGAAAACAAAAAAGATTCTCTTGCCCATGCATCTGATCATTTTGATACCAAGTAATACACCCTTTCATGAAACACTAATAACATAATAATGTGAACTATATGATACAAGAACAAAAGGAAGTCTACAGAGCATTGGTGTATTAGACGATTCTTCTTGGCTGTATCAGTTGCAAAGTGTGATTACCAAGCTCAGTCCTATCTACACTTCAGCTAGGTCACAATTTCCTTTACCTTCACCATTTACACATTTCACTGCTCACAGGAACCCATTATCATAAATCAATTACTTACACGTATTGCCTGTGGTGACCTAGAGTAGTCCACAAGGTCACACCGGAAGGAATATCCTGCAGCCCAGCCCGCCATAAGGAACTGGAAAAAAAAAGCAAAGCCTATCTTACAACAAAGTTATATCAATCTGAAATAAACAAAAAAAGGATCTAAGAAGCAGAATATGGAGTGTTAACTGAATGTATGACAATCACAGCAAGCAAGTTTAGGTAAGTTCAGATGTTTTTCAGATACAGTAAGTATGACCACTCATCATAAAACAAAAAGCTATTGATTAACATTTACAACTAATGTACGTATGTAGATGTATTCACAAATGTACACAAATGTTTCCATACCTTAGAGAAGAACTCCAGGCAAAATCTTGATTAACCCTTGCAGTGGGGCTACCCATGCACAGCAATGGTTAACCGCTCGTTTTCATCAAGGGACTAAAATAATACTCACCTGAACCTCGGAGCAAATATGCTCTTAAGGTGCCCATACACTGCTCGATTCTCGTACGAGAATCGCGGGAAATCCCGCAATCGTACGAGAATCGAGCAGTGTGAACGGAGACATGCGACCGTTTCTACTGTACGGTCGCACGTCTTCCGTCGAACCAGCATGTTCGAAAACCAGCCGGGAATCGTACGATTCTCGGCTGGTTAGAACGGTGCTCGGAAGACAAATGCCGAACGGGCCGGTGTGCGCACGCGCACACTGCCCGTTCAGCATTGCGGTCATCGGAAGCCCGCCCCTCAGGGGGGCGGGCTTGCGATGATCGAGAGTGCGATCTGCCTGTCCAAGATAGGCAGATCGTACGTTTTTTTAATCCCTGTACAACCATCGCAAGACTAAGGTCTTGCGATGGTTGTAGAGTGTATGGCCACCTTTAGATCGGTCCTTCCAGCCTCACTCCCCCTCAACTGCAGCGGTCTAAGGATCCTTGAGTCATCACATCCAATACACTGTGTATTGGACGTAAGGACACAGGGCGACATACCTCTGCAGCGAAGGAGGAGACAGGCTGGAGGGAGCGCTGTGACAGTAGGCTGGCTCCGAGGTTCCGGGTGAGTACAACTTTTTTGTTTTAGTCCCTAGACAAAAACGAGCACTTAACCCTTGCAGTGCGGGGGTTTGCCTGGAGTTCTTCAAAGTGTATCCCAAAACACATTTTATATATTGCAGCTTAGCAGTCCTTAGAAGTGGTGGCTGAGGGTAAGAATATGTTAAGCAAGTTCAAAAGACACATGTTGATCTTTCCAAAAAAAATGGAGTATCCTTGTCACTTCCTGTGACAAAGACAAAGGAAAGGCATCCTCATCTTTCATGGGTAAAACTACTAGTAAATCAATCCACCATGTAACCAAAGGCCACCATGCAATCATGAGACAAAGGCAGACATATTTGAAGTCCAGCTTTTAAGACAACGGTGGCTGCCCCCCATAGCTTCAATAGAGAAAGGAAAAAAAAAAAAAAAAGAAGAAGGGGGAGCATAGACTTGATAGAACAGGAATGTTATTTGCAAAATAAAAGGAAAAATAAATAAATAAGCCACCATATTCAAGGACTGGTAAGCTGCAATATATTACGTTTTTGGAGTTTGGATATGCTTTATAGCATGAATGTCAAACTCAATTTAATCGTGGGCCGCATTAACTTTATGGTTGCCCTCAAAGGGCCGGTTGTATCTGTAAGACTATATAAATGTATCTAATCTTTATCATAATTGCCTCTGCATTCGATTATCACTGGTTTTAGTAATAACTTAATACCTAGATCTGAAAGTAGAAGTCTAAGAAATGGCCTGGTGGGCCTTGAGTTTGACACATGTGCTTTAAAGTGTACTTGCCAGCCTATTGAAACTCAAAATCCTGCTTCAAATCAGGAACTGTGTCTGTTATTAACTTCATTATCCAGAAAACTTTCCTCTGTGTGTCTCGGATTTAGTTTTACATTGCTAATAGGGGCCCAACTTTCTCAATTCCTGGGTTAACCCTGCTTAATGCCATTACTCTATCAAATACAAGAACTTCAGTAGACTTTCAGTACAGGAGGTACCCTCCTACCTCACCCAGGATCATCAGATACCAGCAGCACCTGGAGCTCTTCCAGAAAACAAAAACTGAACTCGTCATCTAGTGGAAGAGCAAATATTCAACCCCATTTTTTTACAGCTGGAGTTTATTTTAATCGTCTTACCATGTTGCTATAGTTATAGGGATGCTTTAAGAGTGCTCTAACTGGAAATGTTGCAGGATAGGGGTGAGACTAAAGCTGGCCATGGTTACTACAGAATCAGCTGTAATCAATGTTTGAGTATTCTGAAAGTGGAGGACAATGGATGGAGCAATCAGATTGAGTTCTTGCATTCGGCCCACAGGCTAAACAAAATAAATCTATTAGCGTATGCAGGGCTGGATTTACTCTCTCTGCTGCCCCAATGTGCCCCCCTCCCTGCCAAACCCCCCCCCCCCCTCCCCATGGAGAATGGCAGACCTGCAGGCTGCATACAAATGATCTTGGCGACATCACTTGTACAAAACAAGCGGCGGCTTCCCCGCTGTACATTTAGCTCTGCTTGCCCAAAGCAGAGCTAAATGTAGAAAACAACTACCCATCCGGCACCCGGAACTGCATGTCCCGGGCATCGGGAAATAGGAACTCCACACCCCTGCTGCCCCTCTATTCCCGGCTGCTCCGAGGCTGGGCCTTGGTTGGCCTTGTGGGAAATCTGGCCCTGAGCGTATGGCCAGCATTAGCCCCTCTAGAAAAGTCGAGCCTCAGTAGCAAGATGAAACGGATTTACAAAGTTTTCTGGCAATAAAGAAAACAAAAAGATAACATTTTTCTTTTAAGAGTTAAAAAATTGCACTTTCCTCCTCCATTCTCCCCTTTACTATGTTCTCTGTTTAACGGCTCCTCACAGCCACATTACGCCATGTTTAGACTGAGACACGTGTCACAAGTGCACAGGTAGTGTGATGAATTAAATGAACAAAAGAAACAATATTTAGACTACATATACATGCAGTCATTGTACAACTACATCAAGTGACAGCCAGAAACCATCAGAAAATCAGGTCCAAAACTGAACCCATTACCACTGGTAAGGGCAAATTGCTGAGAGAGGAAGTGCAAGCAAGTATAAGAGTAAAAAGTGACTCGGCTATTGGATGTTTAAACTTTGTACACCTGTACATTATTATTAAGTATGGGTCATGTCTTGAATATCCTTCATGTTCACTTACTTCATAGCACATGTACAAGGAGAAAATCACCATAGAAAAGTTATACACAGCCATTATCCCTTTCAATTCAAAGGGCTTCCTGTTCTCCATCAGCCGGGGACCCAATGATGAGACAAAATAAATATATGCCCCAATGATAATTGTCTGGGGGATTGGAGAGGACATAAGTGGCCAGTCTTCCACACGTGGATCTAGAAAAAAAATATATAATTTTGTTACACAACATTATGTAACACAGTTAATCTTCTATTATTTACATTTGTATAAGAAAAGTTACGTTCATACTGGGCAAAGTAACAGGTTTAATTTACAGGAGGCTGTGGCGGCAGCGTTTACTTGCCTTGACTGTATTCCCCTGCCACTCCTATACATTGCCAGGGCATCACAAATTGTACACCAGTTACAGCTTGGTCAAACCTTATACAGGCCACTCTTGTTCCCCTGCCACCATGTTACAGTGTTAGGCCCTAGTCATTGGCCGCTCTGGCACAAAGATAAGCAACGTGTGGAGGCAGGGGGAGAATCATGTGTCACCCAATACCTGACAGCACTTGGTATTTATTTGGGTTGCCAAAGAGGTCAACCTAGGTAAAAGCCTATCGGGGTGATATAGTAGTGAAGTGTGACTTTGGCCTCTAGTACCTGGAAGGTTTCCTGGGGAAAGCGGGGAGGAAGGTCAGTTAGCAGAAAGCTCAGGGTGGGGAGGGGCTGGCCCTGCACACATTAAAAAGGAGCTGAGCAGAAGATCTGGGTAGAGGAGGTGATTAGATTCTGAGGAACGTCGCACTCATCCTCTGCCCATTTGCCTCGTGACCTATTGCAAGACTTGTGGGCTTAACATTCTGTGTACATAGCGAATCCACGGCTGGGAAATCGGGGGATTCACATCACCTGGGAGAACACAGGAGATTTGGTTAAATTCCCAGAGACTGGGAGAGATCCCCAAGTGACTCCCAAGCTTC